CAGGGTTTTCATACGCTCATGCCAGGTCCGAGGTTGTCCACTCTTAACTTTTTCTACCGAACACTTGCCTCGGCGAACAGCACGCGCCATGGCATTCTACTTGGTGACATGCGTAACACGCCCTAATCGGCGCAGTCCATGGAGGCGTACCACTTGTTTTAGAGGGCGGCCGTTATTACGTAAAACTCTTCGCCTAACCCGAGTAGTTGAAACACCCTCTTTCTACTTTTCAGTTGTTTCCACATGAATGTAATTGAATTGGGTTGAAGACTAAGTCACCGAAAACATTGTTCTCCTACAGCTGGCGTTCTGAGCCTTATAATGGGCTTATTTTCATCCTTTTTCGGTTATAACTTTTAGTTTGATCTTCGATTTCGGACCCCGTGGTTTCCACGTGGTTTCCTCCTGCTCGGATTAGCTACAGCGAATAAAGCACGGTGCGGCAGACGATGGCTGGGAATACGCAATACGTGCGCTAGCCAGCGAAGTCTGCCACACCGCATTCAGTTTAGTAGACTTCGCTGGCTCGGGCACGTATTGCGTATGCCCAGCCGTCATCTGCCGCACCGCGCTTTATTCACTGTAGCTAATCCGAGCTGGAGGAAACCACGTGGAGACGAGGCATGAAGAAATGCACAGAGCCATTTGGTAGAGTAGGTGTCTCTCGCCTTCTAGGTTGGGGTCCGAAAGACTCCACAACTGGCTGGTTGGAGACATTGAAGAATATGGCAGCGAACCGGCAGCAGTAGCGTTCTTGTTGTCGTTTCTTATCAGGTCAGAATGTTTGAAACGGTATGTATGCAGAGTTCGATTGTGTACTCTGTGTTGACCATAGTGGCTAATCTTCTCCCTCCCTCAAAATAGGTCCAATCCCTGTCCACCTTACCACTAACCTTGTATGCATTGCGAGTTTGGCAGTGGTCAGTGAAGTTCGCTTCACCGTATTTCGCTGTAGGATGACGTTGATGATGATGTATTAGATGATCTGATCTGATCTGCACTGATTGGCGTGCTTCTACTTGTCAGTTCTCATTTATCCCAGTAGTGACATCAATGGCTCATAACGAATTACTGTCGCTTAATGCTAAGTGCACGCAAACAGGCACCATAATTGATCGACATCAGTATTTGCATGAGAGGAGACTTTCCATTCATCAGCTGTTTCTTTTTCATGTTTGCAGTGAACCGAGTCTCACCATGGTTGGAAATCCGCAATCGGGGGCAAAACGCAAAGAGATTTATAAATACGATGCTCCGTGGTGCATATTTAGCATGAACTGGTCCGTTCGTCCAGACAAGCATTTTCGTCTGGCAGTGGGAAGTTTTGTTGAAGAGTATAATAACAAAGTACAAGTGGTTTGCTTGGACGAGGATCGGGGCGAGTTTGTGGTTCAAAGCATATTTGCGCATCATTATCCCACATCAAAAATCATGTGGATCCCGGATACAAAATGTATCTTCCCAGATTTGTTAGCTACCAGCGGTGATTATTTGCGAATTTGGCGCGTGCACGAGGACAATGAAGTGAAAAACGAATGCCTGCTGAATAACAACAAGAATTCCGATTATTGTGCTCCTTTGACCTCATTCGATTGGAATGAAGTTGATCCAAACATTTTGGGCACTTCAAGTATCGACACCACGTGCACTATTTGGGCCTTAGAGGTAATTCGGTAGAATACGTTTTTGCTTTTTGAATAGTGCAAAAAACATTTTATTTGGGTAACAATTTGCCTCTGTTGTTTTCCGTATTGGTTGGAGGGATATTTTTAAAAAATGAGAAAGGCTGAAGGGGGAAAGTCTAGGAACCGGCCACACTTAGACATGCCGCCTAGGCTTTCGGTTAAGGATGCTCATTTTACAATTTTTCATCCAATATTCAGGGGAATAGATATCCGAAAACGAGCATGGAATATGAGTATTCACAGGAATAAACGAGTTAGTGATTTTCTGGAAAATATCCAAGGCAGTGCATTGAAAAGCTCAAAAGGCTGTTTTGTAAACTGCTTATCCTCCACACAAAAAAACATGAATTGATTCATTTGTTTTGAAAAAGTTTCTGCCCTGATCTGTTTGGCACAGTCATCTGATATCTGTCCCTTAAGGCAGTTGTAGCCAAGCTTGTCTACCTTCCTGAATATATGTACATATGCGCTTTTACTTTTTTTGCTACTATCTTCTGTTTAAGGATGAGCCGAATCCTTGGATGTTTCTCATTGCGCAGCCATCCATGCGTTGCAATCCACGATAAGGTCTGCACAGCGGAGCACCCAGTTGGTACTCCAATCATATATATATATATATATATATATATATACATAATATATATATATATATATATACATAATATATATTCGATCCGCATAGAAGGATAAGTTATGAATCGGATGCGGCTTAAGTGGCGGCGGAGAATCAGTTGTGGCGCCATGTGGGAAATTCGGAATGGAAAAAGTTGAAGTGGTGATGACAATGGGCCAACACTTTACTGGTCTACGATACAGGCGCTATTTTTCTAAGCGGATCCGGTAAACGGATAATCATAAAACTTTGAACTTATCTTAAGTACGGACTACAATACCCACCAAGAAAGGCCCAAGCAAAACTTCTTGGTATTTTCCCAACTGACTGTTTTCGCCTTGAACGATCTTGCTAACTAAGTCGGAGATAGAATTCCGGAGGAGAGAACAAACATCATGGAAAATGCATATCTGTTATAAAAGTCGTTCAATATATTTTCCATCCTGAATAGCGAAATTCAGCGAAGATAGTTTTATCTCCTTCAGAATGGTAACCGCTGGAAGACTTTCACACCGCACAACGATAATCTGTTTTAGTTCCTCGATCTTTCTCGGTTTCCGGGAATAAACGGTTCCCTTTAGATATGTCCACAAAAAGAAATCCAAGGGAGTCAGATCAGGTGATCTTAAAGGCTACTCCTTCGGTGCTCCTCAACCAATCAATCTGCAGTTAAATTCCTAACCGAGGAAACTTCTCACCACCAGAGCATTGTGTGGCAGTGCACCGTCGTGTTGGAACCAAACTGTAGTACCAAATTCATTTACAGATACAAAGCGCTTTAAGTAATGTAATAAGCAAATTGCCCGGGAATGCAATATGTCACAGTATTCTGTGCTTAAAATGATAATAGAAAACAAAGTGGCTCAGCTACAAGAACGTTGTGCCAGTGATCCTGAGTGCCGACTGGAATTTTGTACACGGTACCGGGCACACTTGGATGTGCGGCAAACGGTTTTCACAGATGAAGCCATTTTTGATGTGACCGGAAGTGTGACAAACTCCATTCGTTGGGTCGTTGAAACCCAAGACTTTGTTGGCTCAAAGTCACTTCATAGTCCTAAGGTATGAGTATGGACCGGTACTTTGTATGGCAAAATTTTCGGGCCGTACTTTTTCAACGGAAACAGAATAGTTAAGAACAATTTTGCTTATTACAAAATTACCAAGAAGAGTTTTGCGTGGGCCTATCTTGGTGGGTATTGTAGTCCGTACTTAAGATAAGTTCAAAGTTTTATGATTATCCGTTTACCGGATCCGCTTAGAAAAATAGCGCCTGTATCGTAGACCAGTAAAGTGTTGGCCCATTGTCATCACCACTTCAACTTTTTCCATTCCGAATTTCCCACATGGCGCCACAACTGATTCTCCGCCGCCACTTAAGCCGCATCCGATTCATAACTTATACTACTTATTGTAAAATTGTATATGTATAATGTCACGCAAGCATAGTACTGACTCGACAACGATATTAATGATGAAGAAGGATTTGGGTGCAAATGAGGGAAATGTGTAAAATATAAATTCCTGAGATGCAGAAGGACAAGATCGTACTCGAATGCTGCGCATCGTCGATCGGGTAACAAGCAGTCCACGGCTTATGATTAACCCACAAGAAAACGAGCATAGCAACAAGGATTTTGAGACACCAGAGTTCACCTTAGTTTCTTTTATGATACAGTTGTGTGGTGAACAGAAAACTGGGTGAACCCCATAATCGAAGACGTGCTCCATCATGGAAACCGGTAACCTAAGCCCCGGGATTTGGAGTGGCGAACCACATAAGGTCCCACTAGGTTTGTCGTGATATTAGACCGGACGACAGAAAAGCTACCTACCACCAAAGATAGGTGGCGGTGGTGGGTTCGAACCTCAGACCATAGAGTCCGAAGGACGCCAGTGACAGCGACTAAACCGCTGCGTCACCAACATCAATTCACCTCCGTGAATTCGTGAAAGGCAAGATCATTTTCCTGGAAACGGAATGTGACAAGGAATTGTAGTA